TAGCTCCCCAGCAGCTGGCCCTTTATCTATTTTTTATTTACTGAGGTTTCTTGTAAGATATTTTCTGGAAGAAAGGGTCTTGGTGATTAGACAGATGAAGGGAAGAAGAGTCCTTGAGCTGTCCTGGGGGAAGTACGGTGCGGCCACAAAAGTCCTCAACACATTCGCTGAAGGAGTGAGAGATGCATGAATTCTTCTCTTACTGTTCTTTGATTCGAGGCCTAAACCGCGTGCGTGAGTTAACACGCCTCTCTCCCACGGCGTGTGTCCGTGCGTATGTGCGTGAGTGGGGAGCTGGGGGGGCCGAGGCCCTGCCTGGCCGCGCCCAGGTTCCGTCCACGAGCCGAGAGGGGTGGGGGTGACGCGGGATGGCATCCAGGCTTGGCTCAGAGTGGTGGTGCCCTGCTGGGAGGCCACTTAGCCTCTCTGGAGGTGACCAGCTGGCCACTGACCTCGGACAGCGTCCTGGCCTTCCCTGCTGACGGAAGGCTAGGGTCGGAGCCAGCCCTGCTGAGGCTCGGCATTCCCTGTCCCCCTCTGTGGCAGGGTACCTGGGGCTGAGGTGTCCCACAGCCGCACTCTTCTCTGAGTCTTGCCATTGCTCTCTGCTGCAGCTGCTCTTGCCTCAGTTTCCCGTCTGGGTAGAAGACAGGGGAAGGACACAAAGGGAACCACTGTGTGCCAGATTTTGTGCTGGGTACTGCTGGGGCTGGCTTTCCCTTTGTCCCCCCAACCCTGGTGTAGGGCTCAGTGCACAGCAGGGACTTGCCAAGACCTAGCACTTCAACCGGGGGGGAATGTCCGTGCCCAAGGGGCTGTGGGCGTGGTCCAGTCCTGTGGTCCTCAGTTCTGCGGAGTCCTAGGGTCCCATGAAGGAGCTTTCGGACGAAGTTTGGGGGGAAGCCCCCCACTTTTGCCTCAAGGAGGTTTTGTCTACTTTAGATTTGGGAGAACTGGCTGATTTTGCAGCTGAAAAAAAAGATGTGATTTTCTTCAAGTTTCCTATTTTGTGATGTGGAGTCAGAGGCCGAGGGGCAAGAACTAGCTTATTCAAGGCCACAAAGAGAGTCGATAGCTGAGGATGCAAACTATGTTCATCCAGGACTTACTGTGTATCAGGCATATGATGCTTGTATGATATCTTTTCCTGGAACAAACCTGACCAAATAAGAATATTATTAGCCCCATTTGACAGATGAGAGAACTGAGGCACCATGAGGTGAAATAATCACAGAGTTAGGAAATGCCACGTTAGGGATTTGAATGTGGCAGCCCCAGTGAAGGCTGCCCCCCCCCCCCCCCCCGGGCTACTGCACTAGACCGTGTACCACCAGTCTTCCTTGCTGGGTAGTAGGTAAGGCAGCTTCCACTCCTGTCTTACTTGGTCCACTCCTCCACCTGGCCCTGGCATCCTCAACACAGCCCTGGGCATCTGGCTCAGAGCCAGCCCCTCAGCTTTAGAAGAGAACGCAGGGATCCCCAGGATGTGTCTGCATCCTGGTCTAGCGCCCCGGAGATAAAGAGATGCCCCCACTGAAGTCTGGACAGAAGGGAGGATTGAGTGCGGCCTTTGTAACAGAGACAGCTGGGAGGGGTAGAGGTACAGGAACGTCACACTGATTCACGCTTGCTCTTGCAGAACTGCCGCGTGAACTTGGAGACACCAGTCAAGCTTCAGGTACCTTATCTGTAAAATGGGCCTGACTGTCTCAGTCCTGCAGCTTCTAAAGGCTAAGGGAAGGCTCCAAGGAGGTAATAGTCATGGAAATGCTTTTCTGACTGTCCAGTGCCCCCTGTCTGGGGTGCATGTGGGGGGGGGTGTGCTTCAGGAAGGGGGTGGGTACTGAGTTGGGAAGGTGCAATGCTTCCACCTTTAACCTTATTTGCAACAGGGTAAGGAAAACCAAAAAACAGATGGGGTGTAGAAGTCGGCTTATCTCCTTCCTCTCGGTTGCTGTGTGTGCAGGGCTCCTCGGCCCTCCCGGTGCTGCGGTGCTCACCTCTGTACAGTGGGGACTGTGCTAGATGCTCAATGTGTAAATTGCTTCATAACTCAGCAGCACGGAGGGAACCAGGTGATTACAGTGGTCCCAGCCCTGCATGGAGTGTCCCCTATAAGGATCTGGAACCACAACTGGGAAGAGTGGCTTCTCCTGGCTCCATCACTGGCCTGTGACCTTGGCAAGTCCCTTATCCCCTTTCTGCGAATATCAGTTAGAGGATGTAAGGTCTCCTCTTTTTACCTCAGAAGGTATTTATTTTGAGAAGCAAGGTCAATAATGGAGGTGAAATGCGTTGGGGGAAAAACAGAAAAGCAGGATACAAATGTAAGAGCTTCTTGTTGTAACTTGATCATCCTGCTTGTTACGGCTTTTCTCTTCCAGCATTTGGCCTGGTGCTAACCTCAAAGCAAAAGCAGACGCTCTGTGGAGCCTTCATGAATGGGGCGGCTTGTGGAGGGAAGCAAAGGGAAACTGCTGACCTGCACCGACAAGCTGACACGCCGGGGGGATGTGGGGCGAGCCCCTGAGCCTCTCTCTCAGGGTCTCAGTTGCCCCCTTTGTCAATGAGGAGGTTGGGCTGGATCATCCCTCACGGATCCTCCGGCGCGGACAGCTCTGAAGTGGGAATGAATGAAGTGCTAGTGTTCTTTCTCATTAAGCACCAGGAGCTTGATTTCATTTTGTTTTGCTAAGAGTCCTGTGAGGCACCCAGGCAGCTAGCCAGCCACATGCCCCATTTTAAAGCTGAGATTATGGAAGTTCAGAGAGGGGACATGACTTGTCCCAAGTCACACAGCTAGCCAATGACAGGATAGGGATTCAAACCCAGGCCTGACTCCCATTCCACACCCATCCCACCTGTCCCACGGTCTCTGCCTCCCCTTTCTCGGCCCCCTTCCTCCCCTCCCCCCCCAGGTGCCTGGCCTCTGGGCAGGGTACCCTTTCGCGTAGTTGGGGGAGAGGGCTGGGCTGGTTCCTCTCAGGTAGCCCCCTCTACCAGATGTTATGTCACTAAAAAACCACACCCCTTTCCCTCCAGCCTGCCCCGACCCAGAGTTCTAGAATGAAGGAGAGAGTCACTAAGGATGGGACCAGATGCAGGGGCAGCAACTGAGCCAGCTGAGACTTCACCCTAGACCTGCCTTCAGCAGGTTCCACGACCTTGGGACGGTTGCCTCTCTCTGGTCAGGCTGGCTCTGCCGAGTGAAGGCGGTCTCCAGGGGGAGAGCAGGTGCTGTTGGCTCTGGGCGAAGATAATGAGCCCTCCTCACGCAACTTGCCCCCTCGGAGTTAGGATCTGCTTGGCAGATGCGCCTCCCAGGCCTCTGGGGGCTGCCCCGGTCTCCCTCCTGGGACCGGGAGCCCACTCCTCGCCACAGAAGCCACATTCTCTCCCCAGGGCTCGAGGCTGTTGCTGGCAGGGAGGTCCCCCAGGGCAGAGGGCTGCAGGCCCGGGGCGTCCCCGGGGGAGGAGGCAGCGGACGCCCAGAGCCGGGCATCCGGGGCGAGCCCGGCGTAATGAGGCGCTCCCCTCTCCTCCGGGAGGCGGGGCTGCCCCCCTCCCCCCTTCCGCCTCCACCCGGAGGCCCCTCGGGAGCCCGAGTCCTGAGCCTCTGAGCCTCGGCTGGGCAGCAGGGCCTTCCAGGGCGATCGCAGCGGGGGAAGGAGGGGGTGAGGCCCAAGGGGCCGAGCCCCGGGTGTGTGAAGTGGGGCGCCAGTGTGGTGGGGGAGGGGGCTCCCTGGTTTGAGGCCGGAGGGGGAGGCTGTGTCCTCAGGTCGCCCTCGCCTCCTCCGACCTTTGGCCTCCGGGGAGACCGGCGTCCATCTGTCCTTCCCGGCGTGTGGTCTTTGGTCCGCTCCCCCCCGCCTCGCCCCCCCTCCCCCCGCTCCCGGCTCCCCGCCCGCCCCGCCCCGCCCCGCCCCGCGGGAGGCCGAGCGGGCGGCGGGTCCGGCGTGCACCGGCTCGGGGCCGGGTAAACACCCCGCGGGAGGGGTGCGGGGGAAGGAGGCGCCGGGAGGCCGCCGGGCCGGGGCGGGGCTCGCGGGGGGCCCCTGGGCGCCGGCGGGCCGGCGGGGGCCGGGGGCGGGGGCAGGAAGCGAGCCGCGGCCCGGGCCGGCCCGCGCGGCCCCGTGACGTCGCGCGGCTTCCAGGGATCTCTCCCCGCGGCCCCGGGTCCCCTCGTCCCCGCCCTCCTCCCGCCCTCCTCCCCGCGCCTCGCCTCCGCGCCGCGGCCGGCATTTCTCGCTCGCGGCTCGCTCGCGGGCTGGCTCCTCCGTCCCGGACTCCTCCTCCGCTCGCTCCCACTCTCCGCCTTCCTTCCCCGACCCTCTTTCTCTCCCCGCCGGCCCCGGCCCCGCTCCTCTCCGCTCCTCCCTCGGCCGCGGCGAGCCGGACCCGTCGCTGCCTCCCCTTTCTTCTCTCCCTCCCCTCCGTCTCTCCCTGCCGGTCCCCCTGCCTCCCTCTCCCTTTCTCCTCTGTTTTTCTCGCCGTCTCCCTCCCGGTTTCTCTCTCCCCTCCCTCCCTCCGGGCATCCTCTCCCCTCCACCCCCGTGCCCTCCCTCCTCCCTCGCTCCCCTCCCCCTCCGCCCCTCCGCGCCCCGCCGCTCGCCGCTCCCCAGTCAGCCTCCCCGAAGCCGCGCCGCCGCCGCCCGCACTCGCCGCAGGACCGGCCAGCCGGGCTCCCCGGGGTGCGCCCTCCTCGGCCCCGCGCCCCCCGGGCTCGCCGGGGCACCCCCCCCCCCCCCGCTCCGGCTCGCGGCCCCGCCCGGCCCGGCCCCCGCCCAGCGCCCGGGCGCGCCGAGGATGTGAGTCCTGCTCGCCGGTGCGGGAGCAGCAGCCACTCGCGCGCCGAGCGGGAGCGCAGCGCAGCGCAGCGCCGGGCGCTCGCCGGGTCGCTCGGGCGGGCGGCGCGCTCTCGCCCCAGCGGTGCCCCCCGGTCCCTCGCCGGCGCCACCGCCGCAGCAGCCCGCGGGCCGTCCCCGGCCGGCCGCCCCCGGCCCCAGCGCCGCTGACCCTGTCCGCCGCGGGCGGGGACGCGGGCGGAGGAGGCGCCGCCGCGGAGCCCCCGGACGCGACCATGTCGGAGGTGCTGCCCTACGGCGACGAGAAGCTGAGCCCCTACGGCGACGGCGGCGACGTGGGCCAGATCTTCTCCTGTCGCCTGCAGGACACCAACAACTTCTTCGGCGCCGGGCAGAACAAGCGGCCGCCCAAGCTGGGCCAGATCGGCCGGAGCAAGCGGGGTGAGTTCGCGGTCCCCTCCCCGGACGCCCCTTTTCTTGGGCGCCGAGGCCTGGCCGAGGTGTGTGGGGCTCTTCCGCACCCGGGAGCCGGTTCCGACCGAATGGAATCCCATAGCGCGGAACTGGGGGGATCCAGCACTGCGGGTCGGGCACCGGCCGGCCGCGGAAACCCCTCCCCCTCAGCCTGATTCCGGTTGGGGTCACCCAGGGGGCGTGGCGGCCTCGAGCTGCCGCGGGGGCTGGAAGGTTATTCCCGGGTCCCCACCCGCGCCAAAGTTTGCTTTTCGATTTCTACCCCTCTCCCCTTTTGCGCAGTGTAGTCGCGGCTGCACTCGCTTTATAACCCGGTGGGGAGGGGGTCCCCAGGGCTCCCCAAGAGACGGCGTGGAGAACTGCTGGGGGACCCCACTCCCGCGGGGAAGACGAGGGGCTTTCGGGGCGCACGGGCTTCTCATTGTTACTTAGCAGGGGGAGGGGTTGGCCAAGTCCGAGCGCTCGGCGCGGGAGCTGGAAAAGCCGGGTCGGGGGGGGGGGGGGGGGGGGACGGGGGGGGCCGGGGGAACGGGGGGGGGAGGGGGGGGGGGGGGGGGGGGGAGGGGGGGGGGTGGATCGGGGGAGACCGAGAGGGGCAGAGGCCGAGACAAAGCTCGGGAGAGGGAGCCAGAGCGGGAGAGACAGCAAGCCGGGCACCCAGTCGGAGAAGGACAGAGAAGCAGCTGAAACAATGAGGGAGTCCGACACCCCAGACGGGGGGAGACCCAGAGACCTCGACAGGTGACGGCCACGCCGAGAGACTGATGGCGGGACTGAGGAAGACGAGGCTAGCTAGGTAGAGGTGGTGAGAGAGGCGGAGGGGCCGGCGGGAGGCCGGCAGCGCGGGGAGGCTCTGACCTCTGCGGCGGCGGGCTGCGCGGAGGGGGCGCGCAGGAGGGGCCGCCCGCCCTGGCGAGGTCAGATCCCGGACCCGCCGCGCGCCGTGGCCCCCGGCCCCCGGGCCCCCGCGTGCCCCCTTGCTCCGCGCACCTCCGTACCCAGAGCCTGGGCCACCCGCGCCGCGCTCTGGGCACCCCCGAGGGTCCCCGACCCGGAGACCTTGGCACCTCCTCCCCGCCCTCTTCTGCCGGGGAGCCTTCTTTCTAAATAAATGCGCTCGGGGAGGTGTCGTGGGTTGAGGACGCGGCCAGTGCGTGGCTCGGCTGCGGCCGGGCCTGCGGGATTTGCGCCCTTTCCGTTGCCTTTTCTCAGAACCGAACCCGGACGCAGCCTGGGGTGGGGGGGAGCGGTTCAGAGGGAAGCAGCACAGCGTCCCCCCGCAGAGACAGAAGAGGTTGGGGGCTGTGTCAGCGCGCGGGGAACCCCCCCCCAACCTCTCCCTCGGCCTCCCGCATTTCCCAGTCCCCGGGCGGAACGGGCGACGTCGGAGACCCCCGGCGAGGCCCAGGCGCGCTCACGTCTCCTTTTCTCCCCCCACCCTTTTTTTTTTTGCAGTTGTTATTGAAGATGATAGGATTGATGACGTGCTGAAAAATATGACAGACAAGGCACCTCCTGGTGTCTAACTCCCCCAAAGACAATGAGTTAAGGGAGAGTAAGAACGGCGCGGTAACAGTTATTGGCAAAAAGAGCATGAAAAGAGAAAGCACTTTGAAATGTATCACTAGCTTGCTACCCACGATGAAATCACCAACCTGTATCTCGTGTCGGGCCGGGAGACAGGCGAGGCGTGAGGAGGAGGAGGAGAAGGCTCTGGGCTCCTCAGCAAAAATAAAAATTAAAAAAAAAATTTTAAAAATTTAAAAATCACTATATACACATATAAAGAAATAAAGAAGTCTCAGTTGCAGCTATTTGTCAAAATTAATATCCATTTCTTTTTATACACAGTGAATATTGCGCAATTATAGATCTGGATTTTGAACCACTTAAATAATGAAGCGGCAACACCGGGTGTTTTGAGGTGTTGGCATTCTTCGCTGATTTGGCTGTTCCCAATGTTTACATTATTTAATCTTGCAAAAATGATTCTGTGCACTTGGATGTGAAAGCTGTCCGGTTTTATTTTTTTATGTTGTTATCCTTGGATGTACGGAAAATCAGCAAATGATCTCTATAGATACTCTGTTTTAGTTTGGTCATCATTTGAAGTTATCAGGAATGTATTTAAAACAAGAAGAGAACTTTTCTAAGGAATGATACATAGGAAGAATCCTTGTTTTATTTAAAAATGACTTGTAAAGCTTGTGTTTCTTTGTTGCTGCAAGCTATTTGCCCAAGTTAATGCAAACGGACACATTTTATATGTCAGGAAAAAACCCCACAAAAACAAAGAAAAAAAAATGCTTGAGCTTTTTCTAACCTTTCTGCAGTCTGTTGTGTGAGGAGCCTGTTTTTTTTCTCTAATATTGTGTCAGTTTATTCTCTTTAATGGGCTGTAAAAAAATGTAATCACAAGAGTGCCAAATATCTTGAAATGCCAAAAGGCATTTTGGTTTCTTTTCTTTTTCCCTGTGCTCTGAGTCCACGTAAAGGAATGCTTGGAGTGTCTTTTCTGTTATTTATAGGGGTTCTCTTAAGGCACACCAGCTGCCTGTTTTGCATGGTATTTGCAAAAAAAAAAAGAAAAACGCCTCTTGTGTGAGGAAATCTTTTACCATTTTTTGTTTGCAACTTTGGACCTCAAGAGGTTTCTTCCCTTCCCTGTTCCCTCTTTTCTTAATTCGATATTCTGGATGTTGCACCTGTAACCAGCACACAGGGCTCTTTCTCCAATGTACAATAAAAGAACTGTCCCTGTGTCTCACTCCTTTCTTGTCTCTGCTTTGGTTCAGGGGACTTGCTTTTTGTCTGCTGGCTGCAGATAGGCAAGAGGGACCCATAGCTTTGGTCTGCGAGGCAGCAAGGCGGTGTGGAGGGCCCTGTGGGTTGGGCTCAGGTGGCAGGAAAGACGGTAGACTGGCAGAGCCATTGCCCGAGGGAGAGTTCATTCCATTTGGACTTGCTTAGGGCTCTCCCTGCTTCCCTGTGGTTTCCGCCATCCCTTGTGGGGTGTGGAGAGAAGGGGGTCCCGGGGGTTGGGAGGCAGGCAGTCTTGTTAAGAGCAGTGTTTAGAGGCTGGCAGACTTGGATTAAAATCCCAGCTCCTTCACTTCCGAACCGTATGGACTTGAGCAAGTCGCCTTGCTACTTGAAGCCTCAGTTTCCAAATCTGTAAGGTGGGGATCATGCTGCACCTGCCTCCTGGAGTTGTGGGAGGTTTAACACCACACCCAGCAGGAGGTACCACTCGGTCTTAGGCCTCCATATACCCACAGAATGCTTCACCAAGGGCCATCTGTCCTCAAAGGCAAGGCTGAGGGGCAGCGACACCCTTTCCCCTGCACCTTCAACTTCCAGCATTCACAGGCCATTGCAGAGTTCACAGGTCACTGTATAAGGAGGGTTGGGCCCTGTCTTCTGGGGCCCGCAGCCTGGTAGGTCTCAGGCTTCCCGAAATCACCACTTGAAAAGGCTCATTATAAAAAAAAAATATCAGGCCCCCCCTCCCCCCCACCCCCCGTGGGGCAGTTAATGGTGGTGGAGCAGGTCCCTGTGGGAGGAGGGATAGGAGAAGGATTTTGGCTGGAGAAGGGCCTGGAGAAGTTTTCTTGGTGGCTGTTCTGCATCCAGGAGCCTCAGTGCCGGGAGCTTTTAATGTGTTTGTTGTAAAACTGTCAGCCAGGGAGTCACAACACAACTCACAGTGACAGGAGCCTGATTGTGACTCAGACATCAGGTAAGACAGGCCCCAGGGTGGTGGCGGTGTGGGGGGGGGGAAGGGAAGAGGGGCTCCAGAGGCCTGTGGGGGAAGAGGTGATGTCTCATCCCCCTTCCCAGGCAGTGGGGGTCTTGAGCCTCAGGAGGGCCCAGCAGAGAGGCTGGACATGCTATCAGCCATTAGTAGGAATGGTGGGCAAGTGGGAGCTGGTGGTGCCAGCAGGATGATAGGGGATGGGATGGCAGCTTGATTTTCCTAGGCGCATGACGCTGTCCTGCCAAGCCCAGAGAATCCCAGTGTTTTGGAGCTGATGGGCCTTTAGGCACCACAGATCCCAACTCTCTTTCCCCCTGTTCTTTTCCCATGAGACCGTGGAGGTGTGCCGCCCTGGGAGTTAGGGGCAGGGCCCACCTTCTGCTCGGCCTCAGTCTGCCAGGAGGGGTGGGAGCCGAATGAAAAGATTCTTTCCGAAGGCACATCTCAGTCCGTACCAGGAGTAACTACCGCTTACCTGCTCAATGCTGTGCCGCCCTTCTCTTCTCCCGCATAATCGACCTGGCAACCTACAACGATCAACTCTCCGGTAGGTGAAGAAATTGATGCCCCAGAAGGGCTAAAAGGACCACAAAACAACCACATTAATTGAGCTTTTACTGTACACCAGGCTCACAATAGCCCTAGGAAGTGGATATTATTCTTATCCTGACTGTGCAGGAGAAACCAGGGCCCAGGGATGTGAAGTAACTTGCATAAGGTCACTGGGCTAGTAAGTTGGCAGGAGTAGAACCCAGAGCCTGTGCTCTGGCTGGGGGGGTTGGGGGTGGAGGGGTGCAGAATCATCAGACCCCAGACCCAGGCTCAGTCCCAGCTGCAGCCATTGTCCTTCAGCCTTAAGGACACTTCAGTTGGTTCATTGTTTGGAGGTTATGCTCTCTGCCACTCTACACAACAGAAGCGGTCAGGAGGCAGGGCTTGGATGTGTCAGCGAAGGCCGGGAGCTGCCCTCTGCTGGGAAGGGGGGAGCACGGGGGCGCTCTGCCAAGGCTGTGGGTCCATTTTAATAAGTGATGTATTCAAATGTTCTTGCTAGAGGCCACCCCGTCAGCCAAGGCAGGATCCTCTGCCTGGGAAGACAGAGTTGGCCTTTCCCGAGGACTCCATTCAGCAAAAGGGAATATCAATCTTTTAAATATACGCCAACATCGGGGTAAATATTTGTTGAGAAGGCACTTTGGGGACTGGGCAGATATCAAATTATACCAAGTGCAGAATATGTTTGAAGTATCTGGTTAGGTGGCAATAAATATGGAAAAGGCCATTGCAGGTCTGGGGCGTGGGGAGGGTGTCTGTAAGGCTCCATGCATCGATCCAGCAGCCAGGGCTGCATTGTTCAAACTTCACTAATTGAATGCTTGTAATAAGCATCCATCTCCCTGGATTCTGCTTCCGTGGCCTGTCCAGGTTGACAGCCTGGAGTAATATCAAAAAGCACCTCTAAGGGGGAAATTGGCAAATTGAGTTTTAAAAGAAAGAGACTTGAACATCACTGGATTAAAGGATTAAATAGGAACTCCTTCCTCTCTCCTGCTTAGAGCCTGGTGCATAATAAATGGTAGCCATCAGTGAACCATGTATGAAATGCCTACTATGTGCCTGGCAATGGACTTTCAGCAAACAGATCTTGTTGCATGAAGTGTCTTTGTAGAAGTACCCACTGGGGGTACCGAGGGGCAACGGAGGCACCACTGCGGGGTTGGGGAGTTGGGGGGATGGGGAGCGGCTTGGAGAAGTCCTCTTGCCTATTTTCATCATCAGCTCCTCAAAACCCCTGATAAATCTGAATGCTTGTTCTCCAAGGGCCCTGTTTTTTTTTTTTTTTAATTTTTTTTTTTTTATTCCAAAGGCCCTGTTAAGAGAAGTCTCCTACCCACTTCTAACCACATTGCCAGAAGTCTTCCCTCTCCGGATGGGGACTCGCAGGTACTGACTTCTTGCCCTGGAAAGGGAAGAGCGTGGCTCTCTGCTGGGATCTTCTCCTTTGACTAGTCCCCCAGTTTCATTCATTTGACAAATATCAACTTAGCACCCGCTATGGGCCAGACACTGAGTATACAGCCATGAGGAAGTGGGAGATTTCCTTGGGCTTGAAAAGGATGACAGTTCTGTGGAAATGAGGTTGGGCTGGGGTACCATCAAAGTCAGCAGCTTGGACCCGTGGTTCAGGCAAAAAGAGGGAACCAAAGAGAACTGGGTTTTGGGGGTTGCCTGAATCCCACTTTTCAAAAAATAAATTTTTACTTTAGAATAGTTTCAGGTTCACAGAAAAGTTGTGCGAATAGCATGGAGTTGTCAGTACCTCTGACTCAGTTTCTCCTATTGTTAACATCTGATATTACTATGATGGTACATTTTTCTTTTTTAAAATTTTATCTATTTATTTAAGAGAGAGAGAGAGAGAGCACCTGCAAGAGCAAGGAGAGGGGTAGAGGGGGAGGGAGAGGAAGAGAGGATCACTGAGTGCAGAGCCCAACTCCGGGCTTGATCCCAGGGCCCTGAGATCATGACCTGAGCCAAAACCAAGAGTCAGACACTTAACTGACTGAGCCACCCAGGCACCCCACTATGGTACATTTTTCACAATTAAGGAACCAACACTGGTACACCACTATTAATGAAACTCCACAGCTCATTTGGATTTCATTCCTTGTTTGCCTAATGTCTCTTTTCTGTTGCAGGATCCCATCCAGGACACCACATTCCAATTAGTCATCGAATCTCCTTAAGCTCCTCTGGGCCGTGATAATTTCTCAGACTTCCCTTGTTTTTGATGGAGTACTGGTCAGGTATTTGGTAGATGGTCCCTCAGCTGGGGTTTATCTCATGTTTTTCTCATGGTTCATCTGGGATTATGGGTTTTGGGAGGAAGACTGTGGGGGTAAACTGCCCTTCTCATTACATCATATCAAAAATACATGCTATCAACATGACTTATCACTGTTGCTGCTGACCTTGAGCACTCGACAGAGGTGGCATTGGTCAGGAGACTCCACTGCGAGGTTACTCCCCCACCTTCTTTCATACTGTCCTCTTTGGAAGGAAACCATCATGTGTAGCCCACTTAAGGTGTGGGGAGTTATTTTGGTGGGGGAGTATCTCCATAAATTACTTGGGATTTTTCTGCTCAGGTCATGTGAATGACCCACTTTTTGCTGTTCAACTTTGCCCTGTGTTGGGCAAGCTCACTGTGGTTTAGATGTAATCATGAATTCCAGGCAAACGGGAAAAAACCAAAAATGCCCACAAGGCCCAAGGTGCTGCCTGATGACCGATAGATGGAGCCTTACAAAAAAAATAGATTAAAAAAACGCACACAAAAACCCAACAACCTTAATAAAAGCAACTTCCTGTGGAGGGGAACTGTCACCCTGGTTAGAAACTGTGCAGAATTTTCTCTTGGAAACCTCAGGCAGCTGCTCTGGTTTATAAAATCTGCCTATTGGAGGGAAGCAGAAGGAAAAAAAAAAAAACAGTTGTCGTTATTCCAGCAACAGAGATTCTCCCAAACCATATGCAAAAATAAATCCGAGGACCGGGCTGTATCCGGGGAAACCTGGCAGCTGTGCTGGACCTGGTGGGGTGGCCTCTAGGGACCGAGAGCCCCAGCCTATGGGCCCCAACCGCTTCTCCAGCACAAGCCAAAGTCCTGGACAGACAGCCCCACCTCGGGCCCCACCACCCCCTCATTCTGGGAGGAAGACTTGATTTATCTTGTCACCTCTCACATTGGAGGGTTTGTCCTTAACCCGGGGCTCTGCACGCCCACGGGCCTGGAGGAAGGTCCTTGACCCAGAAACAGCTGTTTGAGGACAAAGGGTCACGAGAGGGAAAGGGAGGTCAGGGAGGACGGCCAAAGGGAGGAGAAGGATCTGGGAAATGTGCCATGGGAAATCCTAACAGAATGGCAATGGGGGCTGGGCAGATGGGGGTCAGGCGGGGTTGGCAGGAAGTTGTCAGGGAAAGGGGTGTCCTGGAAAGCAGAGAGCTGGTGGCCGAGGCCTTAAGGGGCTCAGTCTGGGAGGGTGTTGGGGCAGAGGAAATGACCTAATTAATGAACTAAATCCCTGTTCCTTTAAGGACTCATCAGCCAGGGATGGGGGTGGGGTGGGGTGGGTATTGGGCTTGGCTGGCACTGGGGAGGCAGGGCTGGCCAGCGCAAGGCGTCCTCTGGCCTTCAGGGATCTCACTGTCTGGTCAATGACCCTTTGAGGACAGCGCAGCTTCAAGAAGTTGGGAAGGGGGGCGGTGGTGTCACAGGAAGCTTAGGAAACCCTTGGGGAACCCCCAAAGCAGGCGCCCAGCACACGTGGTGGGTGTCTGAGAAAGGACTGATGACTGCGTTCCAATCCCAAATGTGCCACATGAGACCCTCACCGTGGGCAGGTCTTTTGCCCCTCTGGGGCTCCCTTTCCCCATGTGGAAAACAGTATTTATGAGGTGCTCACTGTGCACCAGTAACCGTTCCACACTCTTTGCATTTAATTCATTTAATGTTCACAACCCAAGGAGATAGTTACTATGATTATTATCCCCATTTTACAGATAAGGGAAACCGAGGCACAGAGCCCTGGCGTCTTCTGCCTGCAGTGGCACAGCCAGAAAGTCATGGAGCTGGGACTGAGCCCTAGGGGCGCCGACCCCAAGAGTCCCAGCTTTCAACCGCTCCTGGATAAGGAGGGGGTCGGGCTAGGCCCGCGCCCAGCGCGCAGTGGGGAGGGGGTGGGGAGGCTGAGGATCCCGCGGGGCCGTGAACCCTGGACGTGGCCAGCGGTTGCCATGGGGACGGCGGGGCGGAGGCGGCGGGCGGGGCTGGGTGCCCAGCCGGGCAGTTCCGGGGAGTTCCCGCCCGCCGCGGGCAGCCGCCGGAGCCGGCACCTGGGGCCGCGTTCGCGCTCCCCTCGCGGACTGGGGGGACCACAGACCCCCCGCCGCCGTCTGCGCTTCCTCCCACCTGAACTCGATCCCCGGCGAAGCCGCACTTATCTCCAGTTCATCTGTATGAATAATTTACTGCGTCTGGAGGCCTCCCCGGCGGCCTCCCGCCCGCCTCCGCCCTCCGGGGCCCCGCGACCTCTCCATATCCCGGTTGGGAGGAGCCCCTGCCCTCCCGATCCCGAGAAGTTCAAATGTCAGGCCTCCCAGGGGCTCGGGGCAGGAGCTTCCCACCTTCTCCCACCTTCCCCCGGGAAATCTTTGTCCTGGAACCAGGGAGAGCACTGGATGAGGAGTGCTCCCAGCAATCCTATCGATCGGGGTCACTGGAAATCATCCCCCATTTTACCTATGGAGACACCGACGGCTGCAGGGTTTGCGCGACCTGTCCTCAGTCCGTCCTCAGAAGGAGCGGAGGTGGAAACAGCCCCAGTGTGGCTCACACTCTTAATCCTTAACCCCTCCGGAGTGGGATGCCAAGTTGCCTCCCCAGGCCGAGGGCGTTTTCCCAGCACGCGGAGTCGGCTGGGGCACAGGGCAGGGAGCCAGCCTGGTGTGCCGCCCCCCACCCCCGTTCGGGGTGCTGGGGACACAGGGGTGAGTCAGGCACAGCCCCTGCCCTCAGGTTTCTTCTGTCTGGGGCTGAGGGTGGGGCGCGGGGACCGGAAGCAGGCAAGGTCAGACAGACCGGCTCGAGACTGGTTAAGATACCAGGTGGAGAGCTGGGCGGGGAAACAGCGAGTTCTAGGCTGGGGGGCCCTTCAGGGAGCCGGTGGGCTTGGGCAGGGCCTTGGAGGTGGAGGTGGGGATGGGAAAGGCAGTCTGGGTGTAGGGAGGACGGAGCAGAAGGACAGAGGGTAGCAAGCTGGGGGTTTGCTTGAGAGAGGGTCTGGCCTCTGGGTAGTGGCTGAACAAGGCATTTCTGGTGGTGCCGGCAGGGTTGCAGAGGGGGCTTCGGGTCAGATCCTGAAAGTCCTTGCATCTGAGCTCAATGGTTGCTTTAGAGTAGCTTCCCCACAGGGGCTAACTTTGCCTTCCAGGCTACATTTGGCTCTGTCTGGAGACACTTCTGGTTGTCCAGACGCGGGGAGGAGGGTAGAGCTCCTAGCATCTGGTGGGTGGAGGCCTGGGATGCTGCTGAACAGGGCCCAGGTCAGCCCCCGCAACACAGAATTATCCAGCCCCAAATGTGCTGGGGTCGAGGAATCCTGAATTGGAGTCTGTTTAAGAGCCCTTTCCACTAACCAGAAGGAGACGGTGGGCAAGTCACTTGACTTCTCGTGCTTCAGTTCCCTCCTCCCTAAAATGGGCTGATGATACCGGCTCACATTTGAGGAAATAGCTGTTGTTATTTTCATACTTGCTGCCTGCCCATGTCACCATAAATGCTGTACTTACAGTAGCTCGTCCAATCGTTAAAACCCAGGCACAGATACTGCTGCTAATAACAGGGTTTGTGGGGCACTTCTTTTTTTTAAGATTTTATTTATTTATTTGAAAGAGAGCAAGAGAGAGCATGAGAGGGGCAGGGAGGGGCAGAGGAGGAGAGAGAGAAGCAGGCTCCACACTGAGCAGGGAGTCGTGTGGTGGTGGTGGGGGGGGGGCTGTCCTGTGCACACCGCGCTGGATCTCAGGATCCTGGGATCATGACCTGAGCCGAAGTCGGATGCTTAACCGACTGAGCCACCCAGGCGCCCCTTGTGGGGGCACTTCCTAAGTGCCAGGCCCTGTACTAAGCTCTTTACATATATGAATTTATTGAATCCTCACAACTCCATGAAGTGGGCACTATTATGATCTCCATTTAACAGAGAAATAGGATGAAAGAGAGGGCGGAAGCTTCCCGAGGGCAATGTCTTGCTTTCAGCTGTCTCCCCAACGTCTAGAGCAATGTCAAAATAAATGTTTGTGGAGAAGGAAATACATAGACACTCCGTGGACTTTGGTGGGCTCCCTTAAGCCTCCTGCAACTGGGAAGACACTGGGGCACAGAAAGTTTGAGGGTCTTGTTTGGAAACACACAGCAGGACCTTCACCTCCTTGCTTTCTGGCTGAGGCCCCAGGAAAGCCCCTGGGTGGTTTCTTTGGGCAACTGGAACCTCACTAGGTTCCTACCACTGGCAGAAAGGGACCCTGGGGTTTTTCTGAGATGCTCTGAGGGTCACGGGTCTCCCCGGAGTGCCATCTGAGCTGGAAAGGACTGGCATCTTGGACTGTGACCAAACCTGCCAGTCTGTCAGCTCAGCAGTGTGTCGAGTGCCTGGGATAGGGCTTATCTACTCCTCTGATGAATGCGGAGAGATTTCAATTTTAACTCGACCCTCGTCCTGGCCTCAGGGACATGGGTGCCTGCAGGACATGTGGGAGCGTCAGACACAGTGTTTGGGAACTACCGTAGCGGCTGTTCTGTCTACACACTACATGCTTTCGGAATGCATCTCAGCCAGGCCTCATGGCAACCCTCAAAGCTAGTGGAACAGTTCTTACTGTACGGACAGGTGTAAAATGGAGATTTAAAGAAGTAGAAATCCATCCCAGGGAACCAATGGGGAGGTCGCAGACCAGTTATTCCAACCTAGCCTCTCCGATGCTGACATTAACCTGAGCCCCAAGCACACTTTCCACAAGTGGCTTGGGCCTATCCCTTCACTTCTCTGACCGTCATCTGTGAAATGGGACCATGAATCCAGGCTTCAGAGGATCGCTGGGAAGATTGAAAGGTGATGACAAAGGTAGAATATCGAGAACCTAGTAGGTTCTTTCCCTGAGCTTCCTGGGGATCCATCGAGTCTGAGCTTTGGGGTAGCCCTGGTGGGGTGCAAGGGAGCCTTCCTCCTCCTGGCATCTGGTGGGTGGAGGCCTGGGATGCTGCTGAA